CACACAACACACACATGTATATGTATATTGAATTCGTGGGGTGGAGGATTGATGGGTTTTGTGCAATTATTTTATTTTTGTTTCATATATATTCACAAAACACACACACACATATAGACACACACATGTAAATTGAACTAAATTTGTGAGTCGAAATGACGTGCTTTATGCGTAGAAAATAGTTTATAAGAACTTTAACAATTGGATTTTGGTGGCTGATGGTAGGGTCTTAGCGAAGATAACAAAAGAGCAATTGGAATCTTTCCCTTTTTGTTTCAACCAACATTTAGATTCATATATATATACATGCACATTTTTTTTTTTTTTTTGATAACCAAGTATCCGGGCCAGCACCCCTTCGGAGTGTTGCACCTCGACTAATCTCGGGACCCTGAGCCGATCAACCAGGCAAAGACACAGTGACCTGCCAGTAGCCAGCTGGGGATGGGATTTGAACTTGAGACCTAGAGAGGAGCATATACATGCACACATACAACTCTAACTCATAACTTCAATTGATTACAAACCAAATTTCTATCTCATCAACAATGGCCAATTTAAGCGTAATTTGTGGGCTTGAAGAGGGGTAGTATGTGCAAGGAGATGGGTAGGGTGATTTGTGTTGAGAGGGGTTGTGGAATGGTCTGCGCAAGGAGAATAGCAAGGGTGGTTTGAGCAAGATGAAAATGAATTAATGGATGATAGTTGGATTTAGGAAATAAAGAGAAGGGAAATTGAGGTTATAGGGGAAGGAAATAGGAGGGACAGCACGTATTGGTTGTGTGTTGCCATGTGATGTGATGAATCTGGGGATGTGGAATTGGTAGGCAAGCAAAGTGAGTGGGTTAACTCAATACGTAACTCAAAGTGAATATATGAACTCAATAAGCTAGTATATATTTTTCTTTTTTGCTCTTAAAAGATGGTCATGTGTAATGCACCGGACCAATTTTCATTCAAAAACTCAACTCTCATTCACAATTGTCCTTATTTGACACAAAAATAAAATTTAGAGTGCAAATATGATCAAATTGAAACAGTAAGGACCAAAATGAAACTTGAGAAAAATTATAAAGACCTTTGGTATAATTTGCCCCATAAAACAATACCATATTCATTGTTTGTGGCAAAAAAAAAAAAAAATTATTATATTTGCATTTAAATTTGAGTCAAAAGCGTAGAATGTGGTATAATCTAATTTAATTTTAGAAGTACATTAAGAAAATTTTAAAATATTAAAAGTCAAATTGAAAAAAATTCAAGTAAAAAAAATATATATATAAAAAATAAAAGGTACACAAAATAATGGGCAATTACAAAAAGGCAAAAAAAAAAACCCTAGGTTTGACCATTGCAACAAAATAATGTTGAATTTTTAATTTCATAAATTTAAATCTTAATCTTTTGACTTATTTTCAGCCTAAATTATTTGTCTATTTTTGTCAACGAAAATAGACAAAACTATTTTAGTCATTAAACTCAACGTAAATATATATAAAATGTCTAAAATTTTAACTTTTATTGAGTTTAATGACTAAAATATTTATTTTTTAATCGATTTACTTAACGGGAATAGACAAATGTTCAGATGGAAAACAAATAAAAAGTTTAAGGTTTAAAATTTAGGGTTTATTTTATTACACAAATCAAACTTTGAGATTTTTATTATAATTTTTCCAAAAATAGTTTATCAAAAAATTATCTTCAAAAATAGTGTAGGAACTCACGGATTCGGACAGGACACTGGGGATCTAGTTACCATTTAAAAAATGTGAATATAACTTATTTAATTTGAGAGTATGTATCAAATTATTTGGTATAATTTTTATTTAACATTTATTATTCAGAAATAATTTAAATAAATAGAAAAAAAATAATTTTGACTATTTGTTGCAGTTTAAAGGAGTTGATAATAATTTAAAATTTTAGGGCAAATTACATATACCCTCTCGAGGTTTGGCTAAATTACAGATATCCCCTGAGGTTTGAGAAATTACAAATTTTCCTCTGAATGCTATATTTGCATAAGAAATTAGGGGGTAATTTGTTATGAAATATAAACCTTAGGGGACAAATTGTTATGAAAATACAAACCTCAGGGGGCAGGATGTAATTTCCGAAATCTCAGGGGTATCTGTAATTTAGCTAAACCTCCCCCTTTATTTTTTAATTTAGGAGTTTGTAATAAATGATTTTGTCAATTTCTACTTATAATTAAATAATTTGATTGGGAGATGCGTAATTTGAACTTTTAATTATTTATTATTAATTTTTAACTTATAATAAATTACATCAAACAAACTCAATTACTTAAAAATTAAGAGAAAAATATTTTTTAACATATGATTTTTAATAAGGGCGAATTATACTAACGGTCCTTATAATTTGGAGCATGTATTGCTTTAGTCTTTGATTTTTCAATTGTGACATATTTGATCATAAATTTTGAATCTTGTTCCAAATAAGAATAATTAAATATATCATTACTTAATTTTAAGGGTAAAATTGTCAATTTGATAAAAAAATGTCAAAAAAGTATTTTTGAATTTATTTATACTCACCAAAGATAAAATTATGTAAAATTGATAAATCTTTCAGACATTTATTTATTTTACCAAATTAATTTTTATTATGTGTTTGGATGATGATCATATAATGGGTGGTTATTTTTATTTTCATTAAAATAGTTTCTATTTTTGCAAAAGTCAAATATGGTGATAACTTTGATATAATTATTAAACCAATCTATTAAATCAAAAAAATCCAAAACTAAATTTTTTTCATATATTGTTTGGGATGATCTAAATAAGTGCACTTTTTGACTTTTTATGAAATATGAGTTGGGTTTGGGTTGGATTTGAAGTGATGTGTAAGAGGTGATGTGACTTAAATAAGATGATGTGATTTAAATAGGATAGTGACTTTTTGACCTTTTGTCTTTTTCAAGACATGCCAAACTTGGCCTAAAATTCTAACAGCCATCTATTACATAATCATTATCCAAATACATAATAAAAAAATTTGGTAAAAAAAAATTAAATAAATATATAAAAAATTTATTAATTTTACATAATTTTATCTTTAGCGAGTAGAAATAATTTTTAAAAATTAAAAATATTTTTTGGACATTTATTTTGTCAAATTAGTTTATATTTTTATCAAATTAACGATTTTACTCTTAAAATTAAGTAATGATATCTTCAGTTGTTCTTATTTAAAATAAAATTTAAAATTTAAAATCAAGGGTAAATTACACTGACACCCCCTAAGGTTTATATTTATTACAGTTCTCCCCTCACTTTTTAGAAATTATATCTCCTCCCTGAGGTTTAAAGTTTCATTACAGATTCCCTCTTCAACCCTTTTAATTTTTTTAAATACCAATTTTACTCTCATTGGATAAATTACATTGACACCCCTCACATTTTAGAAATTACAATCCCCTCCCTAAGGTTTAAAGTAACATTACCAATTGCCATATCGGTTAGTATTAGTTGGAAAAAAAATTCATTGAAAAAAAAAATATTAATTGGAAAAAAATTAATTGAAAAAAAAATTTTTGTTAGTAAAATTTTTAAATTTTTGTTTAAAAACAAACGTAAACTTATTTTTTGAATTTACGTTTTTTCTTCAAATTTGCAAACTGAGACAACCATTTATAAACTCAAAAAATTATCAAACAAATTTTTATGATAGTTTTTAAAATTTTTGTAAATATAAATTGAAAACTGAAAACGAAATGGTTATAAAACAGATCTCAGATGGTAAAAATGTCGTAAAATTAACAAATAATTAAATAAGTTACCAACGTAAGAAATGACTTATCAAAAGATTTTTGGGTAATGTATGGTTTGATTTTTAGAATTTTTTTTAAAATTAAAAATTAATTTGGTTAAGAAATAAAAAATAAAAAAATTATTTTTTAAACGAAATGAAAATTATTTTTTTATTTTTTATTTCTTAACCAAATTAATTTTTAATTTTTTAAATTTTTTTCTAAAAATCAAACCATACATAGCCTAAGAATCTTTTGATAAGTCATTTCTTATGTTGGTAACTTATTTAATTATTTGTTAATTTTACGACATTTTTACCATCTGAAGCCTGTTTGGTAACCATTTCGTTTTCAATTTTCAATTTATATTTACAAAAATTAAAAAAACTGTCATGAAAACTTGTTTGATAATTTTTTAGGTTTATAAATGATTGTCTCAGTTTGTAAATTTGAGAAAAAAACGTAAATTCAAAAAATGAGTTTACGTTGATTTTTAAACAAAAATTTAAAAATTTTACTAAGAATTAATTTTTTTCCAATTAATTTTTTTCCAATTAATTTTTTTTTCAATGATTTTTTTTTCCAACTAATACTAACGAGAAGGCAATTGGTAATATTACTTTAAACCTTACGGAGGGGATTTTAATTTATAAAATGTGAGGGGTGTCAATGTAATTTACACAATGAGAGTAAAATTGGTATTTAAAAAAATTAAAAGGGCTGAGGGAGAATCTGTAATGAAATTTTAAATCTAAAGGGAGAAATGTAATTTTCAAAAGGTGAGGGAGAACTGTAATAAATATAAACTTTAGAGAATGTCAATATAATTTATCCTAAAATTAAATATATTATAATTAAAAAATTAAAAATCAAATAATATAAATTTTAAATTATAAAAATTATTAGTATAATTCCAACTTCAAATAATGTTACACGAAACGGGCCAATGCCTTGAGAAAGAGAAATTTTCTTTTTGGATGCCTTTTGTGTCGCACGAAAGAAGAGTTCGGGGGTGTGACCAAAAAAGAGGAATAGTTGTTACCATTTCTTGACTTGACCTCCCCATCAAACAATCTCTTTCTTCGACTGTTGATATTCCAAATAAAGTAATAGATATAAACTTCGGGGGAGAGAGAGTGGAGTCCACAATTGCCAACTCTCAACGTCAGCCGCTCGTCTCTCTCTCTCTCTCTCTCTCTCTCTGTGCCATTGTCTTGGAGTGAGTCTGAGAATTACAACTCAACGTTATCAATTTTAATCACCCGCTAAGAGGGCCCCTGTTCAGCAGTTTTAGGTTTTTTTCCTGATTCAATCTTTTCATTTTCTTGAATATTTGGAGCAGAGACCTATCATGGACTCTCAAGTATGGGTTGCTCTTGCTCTCTCACTCGTTGGTGGCTTCAGTACATCCCTAGGTGACTCATCGCTGGAAAAAAAATTCATTGAAAAAAATATTAATTGGAAAAAAATTAATTGAAAAAAAAAATTTTGTTAGTAAAATTTTTAAATTTTTGTTTAAAAACTAACGTAAACTCATTTTTTGAATTTACGTTTTTTCCTCAAATTTGCAAACTGAGACAACCATTTATAAACTCAAAAAATTATCAAACAAATTTTAATGACAATTTTTAAATTTTTTGTAAATATAAATTGAAAACTGAAAACGAAATGGTTACAAAACAGATCTCAGATGGTAAAAATGTTGTAAAATTAACAAATAATTAAATAAGTTACCAACGTAAGAAATAACTGTACGGGGAGCAAATATTCAGGCAAAGCCCGTATTCCTTTCTTCCAAGCTCCATTTCTGTCTGATCACCTGTGAGCACAACGGCGGTGAGCTACCCGGCGGTGTGTGGCTGGAAAACCCTTCCGACGATCAAGTTAGACACAGACGGGGATAGAGAGGGAGAGAGAGGAGGGTGTTGGTGTTTTTCTTACCAAATGTTCGTGCAAGCATGGGGGGCGCAGACATGCTTATATACCTTCTGCGCTCCTAATCTACTCCCAGTGATCTCTCGATACGTGGTTCTTCTACCCCATCTGTCAGCACAAATCTTGCTGAACATCACCTAACCTGACTGCTAGCCCACTCTTCTGGGAGCTCGGCAGCCGGGATTTAGCATCTCGGCTGTCAGCGGCCATGCTGCGATTCATGCCCAGGTGCCCCCAACAACCGAGCTCCTTTCCAGCCATGCTCTACTGCGTTCCGACGAAGCCAAGCTTGAGATTAGTCATACTGGTCAACCAAAGTCCTTCCTGCCGAGCTTCAGGCATGAGCCTTCACGCCGAGCTATGGATGCGTGCTTTCCAACCGCACAACGCATAAACCGTGGAACCCTTACTTGACCAGCTTCCATGCCGACAAGGTGAAGTAGCTCGGTTCCACATGCCCTTACCATTGCCGAGCAAAAATCACTTTTGGGTGGACCACAATTTGCCTGGTATTACCATGGCCCAATCCAGACCATATTTTTCCCTCTCAAAAAATTATTTTTAAACGAAATGAAATTTTTTTTTATTTTTTATTTCTTAACCAAATTAATTTTTAATTTTTAAAAAAAATTTCTAAAAATCAAACCATACATAGCCTAAAAATCTTTTGATAAGTCATTTCTTATGTTGGTAACTTATTTAATTATTTGTTAATTTTACGACATTTTTACCATCTGAAACCTGTTTGGTAACCATTTCGTTTTCAGTTTTCAATTTATATTTACAAAAATTTAAAAAACTGTCATGAAAACTTGTTTGATAATTTTTTAGGTTTATAAATGGTTGTCTCAGTTAGTAAATTTGAGAAAAAAACGTAAATTCAAAAAATGAGTTTACGTTGATTTTTAAACAAAAATTTAAAAATTTTACTAACAATTAATTTTTTTTCAATTAATTTTTTTGTAATGAATTTTTTTTTAATGAATTTTTTTTTCGATGAATTTTTTTTCCAACTAATACTAATGAAGAGGCAATTGGTAATATTACTTTAAACCTTACGGAGGGGATTGCAATTTATAAAATGTAAGGGGTGTCAATATAATTTATCCAATGACGGTAAAATTGGTATTTAAAAAAATTAAAAGGGCTGCGGGGGGAATCTGTAAGGAAATTTTAAATCTCAGGAGGAGATGTAATTTTCAAAAGGTGAGAGGGAACTGTAATAAATATAAACTTCAGGGAATGTCAATATGATTATCCTAAAATTAAATATATCATAATTAAAAAATTAAAGATTAAAATAATATAAATTTTAGGGCAAATTACATATACACCCCTCCAGGTTTGACAAAATTACAGATACCCCCTGAGGTTTGAGAAATTACGAATTCCCCCCTGAATGCTATATTTGCATAAGAAATTAGGGGGTAATTTGTTATGAAATATAAACCTCAGGGGGTAAATTGTTATGAAAATACAAACCTCAGGGGGCGGGATGTAATTTCCGAAACCTCAGGGGTATCTGTAATTTAACCAAACCTAGAGGGGTGTATATGTAATTTGCCCTAAATTTTAAATTATAAAAATTACTAGCATAATTCCAACTTCAAATAATGTTACACGAAACGGGCCAATGCCTTGAGAAAGAGAAATTTTCTTTTTGGATGCCTTTTGTGTCGCACGAAAGAAGAGTTCGGGGGTGTGACCAAAAAAGAGGAATAGTTGTTACCATTTCTTGACTTGACCTCCCCATCAAACAATCTCTTTCTTCGACTGTTGATATTCCAAATAAAGTAATAGATATAAACTTCGGGGGAGAGAGAGTGGAGTCCACAATTGCCAACTCTCAACGTCAGCCCCTCGTCTCTCTCTCTCTCTCTGTGCCATTGTCTTGGAGTGAGTCTGAGAATTACAACTCAACGTTATCAATTTGAATCACCCGCTAAGAGGGCCCCTGTTCAGCAGTTTTAGGTTTTTTCCTGATTCAATCTTTTCATTTTCTTGAATATTTGGAGCAGAGACCTATCATGGACTCTCAAGTATGGGTTGCTCTTGCTCTCTCGCTCGTTGGTGGCTTCAGTACATCCCTAGGTGACTCATCGCCCTTTTACCACAAACAAACTCCGATTGTATTTTTTTATTTTTTATTTTTTGAATTGAGCTTTGGGGGTTTCAAGTTTCTCCTTCTTTCGTGGTTTATATTTGTTTCTTGGTTGTTATGTGGTTATTAATTCAATTTGGTCAGTTTCTTTTCTGGGTTCTTGTTAATTTTGAGTTTTAGTTCCTAATTTGTGTTTTGTAGCTTGTGCTATTGGACTTGCGTTAAGAATTGAATACTCATGAAAGCTGAATTGAATAAGAGTCTGCTGGTTATTTAAATTACTATTGAGTATTGTATTCCAAGTATTGCATTCCATGATAATATTATCTCTACCCTAGAAGTTTATTTACTAATTATTTTTAATTAGCTTGTAATGAGCAATGCTATGCTTACTTACCATTTAGTTTGACCATTTACATTTATTATTTCATGTGACACACTCCACTATCATTGATACACAGGCCTCACATATATAACACTAATATCTAAGGGTTATAGAGTGCAACACATTGGTGAAAACAAATGATCAGCATAGCATTTTTGGCGTGTAATTGATATTAATTTTTAAGGTAAAAAGGGCTGACATTCAGTTTTTTTGGGGCCCTACGCCCTCGTTTGGGATATTGGCTGTTTGGCTATTTTAGCCAATGAAAAGAAATTGTGTTTGGGATGATTTGTGGATTTTTTGTAGTTGAATAGATGGTTGTGAGAGAAAAAGTGATTGATTGATGTGTAGGATGTCACGCAAGAATTTTATGTGAGGAACGCCGAAGGAGTTGCTCAATGTAAAAGACTGCAAATAGAAGAAGAAATATCAAAATTCCACTGCCTTGCAAGTGGGTACATGATGCACATATAGCTAATAAAGGACACATCCCTGCTATTTCATTTTTACATACCCTCTCGTGCTTTTGTTTTCCTAGGCATAACCATTGCCATTAGGGGCATATCCATTGCCATTAAGTGAAGGTAGTGTTTCATGCTTTCATGTAATTTTTTGTTTTCTTTTTAGTTCCAATGGCAGGGTCCTTGTGTATGGCCTGCCCTAGGCAGGGTTCTTTCATTTTATGGTTGTGTATGTAAAGGATAATATAATCGCCCATCCCCAAATGATTCATTCCTTCACAAAACACTGTCCGACATATTGTGATCCAGAGATATTTCTCACCTATTCTGACGAAGTTTGCAAAAAAACGTTAATAATGATGATATTGTTTAAAAATAACTATATGAATAAAGATTTGATTTGGCTTACTGTGAGCCCAACATTCCTCACGTAAACAATTCTTTACTGTCTAGTCAACAATGGTCCTTCAGGAAGGATTATCTTAACTAGAACTCCATTTATACAGATTAGATAACTATATGGTCTAGATTCCATATTGTATCCAATTATATGATTTTGATAGCATTGATCTTCTTGTGTTGTTCCACAATCCAAACTCACTGTATAGAGAAGTCTCATCCACATCTTTAATCCTGATGTTCTGGTATGGCCAATCAGCCTTGTAGAGCCCGTGGATAACCTCATGAACTTAGTGTGGTATGTGGCCTCCTGTGATTTCACTAGAGTTGATGGCTTTGGCTTGTTGTAGGGTATGTCTACACAAAGTAGGCTGAGCAACCATGTATGTTTTCACTTTCCAACTTCAAATGATGTCTTAAACATGCTAGCACAACTTCTTTGGTGTCAAAAATGGCTTCCATGAATTCATGCCACGAACATTCGTGAAGAGATTCAGATCTTCGTTGGTAAAATGTTGTTCGCTGATTATCCCTTCTTTTTTCTTCTTCTTTCTTTTCGAGTATTGAAAAGTCGGTATGCTTGGTGGTTTTGAAAACTTTGGGTCATTTTTTCTCTGAAAGTGTTCAATGTTGTGAAATAGAGTTGAATATTGTTCTTCTTGAAATAAGTTTATCCATTGTCTTGGCAGCTGGTTAGTTTTTATTGTCATATCATATAAAAAACATCTTTCTTTCCCTTTGGATTAGAGTAGGCAATATAATCAGATGCAAACTTTTTATGGCTTTTTGTAATATGAAGATGTATTTCAGGATCCATACGGGTTGTTTGGTTGTCTTTTCGTTTTGTTCATTTTCATTTTTCATATTTTTGGATATAAAAACAATAAAAAGTTCGAAGACACCCACTATTTTCATGCTGTTTTCCTATTTCTGCAAAACAGTTTTTGAAAATTTAAAATCAACTTTTTAGTGTTTCCTAAAAATTGGGTTATTTTCTGAAAATTTTCACGAAAACGGTTTGTCAGACAAATTTTTTGTGCTTTATTGGAAAATGAAAACAAAAAACAGAGAACAGAAATACAACCAAACGGCTTTCATTTCCCTGATTCTTATAATTTTAACAGCTAGACCATTCTGCAGACACTCCCCATCTCCCAATGTAAAACAAGTTTCAACATTGTTAATTTATTATTTTCCTGTCATGTAGCTACCCAACTAGTTAAATAACAGCAAACAATCCTTTCAAATCACAGAATTTTAAAAGATGATGTAGTAGATCTCTTTTGCAACTTCAACAGTAGAAAGCTTTACTATCTTACAGATGTTTGGCATATCTCATCCTGCAATTCTTTGAGTTGCAGCTTTTCATGTGCCGGATTTATTTGCATACGCCATGACTCCTTATTTCTGATTGCTTCATGGCTTGGGATAATCCATAAAATCCCCAATTTGATTTGGTTCCAGAATCTAACTATAGGTGTGGGCATTTGACAGGTGCACTTTTTGTGATTCTCAATCAAGCTCCTAATCTGAAGATGCTTGGGCTTCTACAGGTATTGCTTAAGGGCCTAACTTTTTTTATATTTATTTTGACCCTTGTGGGACACCCCAGTGGCTTAGGTCACATTCTCCAAATAAATAGACTCAAGTTCGAGTCTCCTTTACTTAATTATATATGAAAAAATCGTCAGCATTAGGCTAGTTCCTAATCTCATAATGCCTGTCACTTGCGCAACCAGATCCAATTTTTAGAAACTTACTGTAGCTCCTTATATTTATATAGACAAGGATTTATTTAGCTGGGTATGTGCTTTAATGTGATCATATATTAGCTTTTTTGAAACTTTTCAGGTTTATTATGTAGTAAATGATAACATTGTCTAAACCTTTATATTTCCTCCATTCAGGGTTTTGCTGCAGGTCTTATGCTGAGCATATCTTTCTTTGATTTGGCTCATAATGCTATCAACTCCATTGGCTTCTTGAAAGGGAACCTTTGGGTAAGCTATCTTCTTCAAAATTTTACCAAATTCTACATAATTTCCTTTTCTTCTTTTGTATATTGTCAGTTAATTGTTCACACAGTTCTTTGCAGGGGTCATTTTCTTTGCTTTTGTCGCCAATTTCATCCCAGAACCAACACTTGCTCCCATTTCAGATGAGAAAAATAAAAAGGTCCGATCTATTTCTCCCAATGAATGCAAGTGGTTTATTTATCCTTGTATATGCACATTGATAGTGGATACTTCTCTATTGGCATAAATATCTAAAATCTCAATTGGCATTGTGCCCAATAACAGAAAAATGGGGACGGAGGGGGCAAGGACATCATGAAAAAGCATCGCCGTCAAGTTTTATTTAGTGGAATCATCACAGCAGTAGGTCTGATTACTTTGTTAATTTGTTTACTTTTCCCCTGCCATTTAAATTGTCAGTCTTACAGATTTATTTGCCACAATCTTTGGAAATTATACAATAGTTCAATTGGTTTATGTGAGTGCATATATGATTTTGGATGCTTGAATTGATGGTTACTCAATCATTGGAAACAAAAAATATTTTTTCTTTTTGCAGGCTGTTTCTCCAATATTCTGCACTTTCCTAGAATTTTTTCATAAGAAAAATTATTGTTTTTACTTGGACATTTAGCATTTCCCCCCCTTTTTGAGAATAGGGTTTGCGAAAATCTCTGGCCACAACGTACTTAGTGTGATTATTAACACTAGAGTGATGAAACAGACAACAAATGCTTTCCATTGCTCTGTTTTATTGTGAGGTATCTTACTGTGCCATTACTCCCATCGGCCCAACAATTATCTAGTATTTAGTTTTTCTTTTTTAAATGCAAGTACCAGTATTGGTTTGTTCCTAGTTACCCAATTATAAGATGAGGACATGGATTTAGATAATGGTATTGGGATATGTATCAGTGATGCAGCCATATATTGGCCAATATCGAATAGTATAGGACAATGTCGACCACTATGTCAATGAATAAAGGTACTTGAAGGCCAAAATCCCGTTATGTAACTGCTGATATGATATGTAACGGAAGATATTTAAACTCTGCAAGGAGCTCCCTTTGTCCCACATTATTACTTCATATTGTAATTGACAATCAGAAAAAGGTTTTAATTCTTAAACATTAGTTTTGTTAGTTGTGTCCAAATCCTTAATTTTTTTTCTTTTCAAACTGATGATGGAGAACCACTGAGTAGGAGCCTTCCAAGGCAGTCTCTTTGAACCCACCCCTACAGTGTAAACCCGGATACTTGCAATCATTTGCAAACGGCAAACCACAAGTTTCGATTTTGCTTGGGAGACACCGGTGTTGAGCTTGAGATGATTAAAGTTTACAACTCGGCCTAGGATATACTCTCTTCACAGCTGGGCTACCGGTATGCGTTACATCCCTAATTTAATGTAGCGATGAATCCATTGATTTCATTGTTGGTGTCAAATAAAAAATATGATTGTAATTGATATTCTAATGGTGGTAAAGCAGCATTAGACAAACAAAAAAGATTCATTGCATTTAGTAAGAATTTTTTTTCATAATATCATTTATCTAATGCTCAAAGACTATTGACATTTTTAATTTTTTACTTGTCGGAATAGTTTTTACAAAGAAACATAACTATGTACTACTTGTTAAGATTGATCTACAAAATCTTTTTCTAATATATTTTGTAAGTTTGTTCTTCCAGCATTTACAAATTATTGATTGCATAAAAGTAACATATATGAAAAGTGAAATATGAGATCTTTTATCTCCTGGGCGAACAGTGAATCAGTGACCAAGCTGTCTACCCAGCTGGCTTTAACATAAGATGCAACCCCTTGTCATTTCTGTTAATTTGATTGAAATATTCTTGCTTTCAAGTGAATTGCATTAACCATGAGTTGAAATTCTTAGCAAACAAAAATTGTTATAGTCAAAGCATACGGAAATAATTAAAAGTCTAAAATGTTTTGCCTGTGTCAACGGAAAATACAAATATAAGATAGAAAGGTATATCCATTTTCTGTTTGCTTTGATTTTTTGTTTCTTTGTTTTATATTCTTATTTTTAAAGTTTGACATTAGGGGATGTTGAAGGATTAAAAAATAAAAAGGCTAGAATGTTTATTTATTCCCTCTGAGAAATAGCGGAGAAGGAAAAAAAGATGAAGAATAGAAGGAAATGAAGAGGTGGAACAACTCAGGTTACTTGAGCTACTATTTATGATAGGCCAGCTTGCTAATTGCTTTACATTGGTTGTTATTGTATTTATAACTTGTGCCAAAATGTCTACTTCTTTGTGTATATTATATAGTTAATCCATTTCTCTTTGTAAGGGTGTCACATTCGATTATTAAAATCAGCTTTAGAATTCTAATTTTCTTATTATTGTTTGCAACTGTAAACAACAATTTGACATTTTATTGATGACTTATTCACATTTGCCTTTATTCCTTGAATTTAGCCTAGAGTCTTCTACGGATTTCTGTGTAGGCATAAGACATTTTCAATCAAATTTTCCAACCGCAGAATTACCCTTAGAAGCATGAATACTTCTAAGAAGGTGTTGTGTCTGTGTAGGTTATCGACTCTTGTCAGAGACTTCCTAACTCTTGTCGAACACATGCCCAAACACGTCATATTATTATTATTATTATTATTATTATTATTATTATTATTATTATTATTATTATTATTATTATTATTATTATTATTATTATTATTATTATTATTATTATTATTATTATTATTATTATTATTATTATTATTATTATTATTATTATTATTATTATTATTATTATTATTATTATTATTATTATTATTATTATTATTATTATTATTATTATTATTATTATTATTATTATTATTATTATTATTATTATTATTATTATTATTATTATTATTATTATTATTATTATTATTATTATTATTATTATTATTATTATTATTATTATTATTATTATTATTATTATTATTATTATTATTATTATTATTATTATTATTATTATTATTATTATTATTATTATTATTATTATTATTATTATTATTATTATTATTATTATTATTATTATTATTATTATTATTATTATTATTATTATTATTATTATTATTATTATTATTATTATTATTATTATTATTATTATTATTATTATTATTATTATTATTATTATTATTATTATTATTATTATTATTATTATTATTATTATTATTATTATTATTATTATTATTATTATTATTATTATTATTATTATTATTATTATTATTATTATTATTATTATTATTATTATTATTATTATTATTATTATTATTATTATTATTATTATTATTATTATTATTATAAAATTCCAGCGGGCAGCGAAGGCAAGGTTGCCGGCCGGCTGCCCGCCGGAAAGAAAGGAGTATAGGCCTAAATCTTATGGCTCTGATACCATGTAAACATATATGTATTATTGATTGATTGATTTGTATGATTGATTGTATAAATTACAGATGGTGTAAATTACAGATGGTGAGGTATGAAGGCATGTGTGGAAAGCATGACGGCGGTCACAAATTTGTCGAACCGGCTGCAGAGTAGGACAAATGAGGTGCAGCATTTAAACTCCCAGCTGGCTCTGCTCCAACGCATGTATAAGGATGCGCGAGCAGAGATAAGCGTGCTAAGGGCAGAAAACAAGGAGCTGAAGCGGAAGGCCACCGTGATGTTCCGATTGGGAGGGCCGCCATATGCGGCAGTGGAGGAGCAGGGAGTAAATGTGCTCGGTGGCGTGGGAAATCCGGAGGCAACATCGTCAAGGGCCGTCCAAGACGGAGGCAAGAAGAAGAGACCTGCGGCAGAGTAGAGAAGAAAAATCCGGCCTGTGGATGTGGTTGTTTGTGTATTTGGTTTGTTTGTTTGTTTGTGATTTTTTTTTTTTTTTGGGGGAAAATGGGGATCGGGGGGAGCCCCGACATGAAAAAAATGAGTTTGGTGTGCAGTTCATCTTCTTCTTCTGCTGTTTTTTTTTTTTTTTTTTTGCAAAGAAATAAGAATGAAAAAAGGTTTCGTGGCCCACGGTTTTGTGAAAACCTGCAATGGGTTACATGATGAGGAGGATGATAATAAGAATAAAACGAATAAAAAAAAGTGGTGTGGTGTAAGGTGGTGGCTTTATTTGAAAGACAAAAGGTAGTGGAGGTAAATATTAAAAGAAAAAGAAAGGAAAAGAGAGGGTTTAAAGGGAGATTGAGTAGTTGATTTTTAAGGGCACTTGGTCTTGTTTCCATGAGTTGTCATGTCGGTGTAGCAACTCCCACACATTTCTCTGTTCCCTGATGTTCCAGGTGGCACACACTTGCACCTCACGCAGCACGTGCCACATGCCCTGTTGCACACTTTTGGCCTCGAGTGCGCACTACACCTACCCTTGCACAGTCCTCCACAAGCCAGGAATGGCAAGAGCCTTCTGGTTGCCTCTTTCACCACCTGGGTTTGGTGTTCTTCAATCTCTGCGTTAGATGATACCTGAGTGACACAGAAGAGCAAAAGGGCCATTAGAATGAACCAGCGTGACACCATTTTTACCACGGCCTTCAGGGAGAGAGTCCCCGGCAACGGCGCCAGAGTAGCGTAGCTGGGGCTCGGAAGTGGATGGGTTGGAGAAGCGCAGCTGCGGCAGCGGTCGTGGGTGCGGCCGACGGGTAAACCGGCGGAGAGAACCGCTGGGAGGTCGTGTGGGAAAGGGAAGCCGAACACGGCCTCGGCTCGGGCGAACCCGGCGTCGGACAAGCCTGTTTGGACTTGGATTCCGGAGGTTTTGAGGTGGGTGATGACATTGTCGGCGAGAGAAGTGAAGGAGAGGAGGCCGGTTCGGACAGTAAGGGTTGAAGAAGGTGGTGGAACGGCGGCGGCTCTAGCGGAGAGGCGGCGAAGGCCGGCTATATGGGCCGGGTTCAGACCGGTCATTCTCCGGTCCACGTCGACCATAGTGATAAATGGATACTTTGATTGGGAATGTTTGTGGTGTGATTTTGGTGGGCTATCCGTGGCAATTGGGACTTCTGTGTTTGATGGAAGTAAGCTTGGGATTGAGCCATACTCTGTGGAGGTGTTGAAAAATTCCAGCGGGTAGCGAAGGCATGGTTGCCGGCCGGCTGCCCGCCGGAAAGAAAGGAATATAGGCCTAAATCTTATAGCTTTGATACCATGTAAAAAAACTGATGTATTATTGATTGATGTTATGTTGTATTTTACAATGATTCCTATATATAGAAGAGAGGATGTGGGAAGAGAATAGGTGAGTGTGTAGTAGGTATGGAGTAGGTAAGGAGTAGGTGGAGAGTAGGTGAAGTAGGTGAGTGTGTAGTAGGTGGTAGTGGTAGGTGTGTAGTAGGTGAATTTTAACATATAGTTAATCCGTTCTCTTTGTAAGGGTGTCACATTCGATTATTAAAATCAGCTTTAGAATTCTAATTTTTTTATTATTGTTTGCAACTGTAAACAACAATTTGACATTTTATTGATGACTTATTCACATTTGCCTTTATTCCTTGAATTTAGCCTGGAGTCTTCTACGGATTTCTGTGTAGGCATAAGACATTTTCAATCAAATTTTCCAACCGCAGAATTACCCTTAGAAGCATGAATACTTCTAAGGTGTTGTGTCTGTGTAGGTTATTGACTCTTGTCAGAGACTTCCTAACTCTTGTCGAACACATGCCCAAACACGTCATATTATTATTATTATTATTATTTTATTTATTTATTTATTTATTTATTTTTTTGTGGGTTGCTTTTAAGACCGAACACACTACTAATACTTGGGGAACACATGTATTCGTAGTTTAGACATATATGAAACACATTGCAAGTGTAAACAAATAACTTGAGAATAAAAACAACGCCCAATTAGTACACATTAATGTGTGTTTGGGAGGGAAATGATTGAGTACGTGCCTAGCCTTTGGCATATTACACAAAGTGATAGTCTCAAGACTTGAACCCATAACCTCAAGGTTATTAGGCCAAGTCTTAACTTGAGAATCAATGATAAAATAGAAATAATGTGAATTTATACCTATCAATCCTTCCTCTTTTAGACTTTTTAGTTTTAGAAAAAAATCTAGAGCCTAAAACTTTCAATTTGTTAATGAATTTTTTTTTTCTAAATAAATATTATGATTTTTTGCTAACCTATTTATTTGTCTTGTTAAAAAAAGAAGAAGAAAGAGTTAATATTTTCATGCATACATATAAAATATATAACGTATAAGAAAAATGAAGAAATAGTTAATATTTTCATGTATGCATATAAAATATATATTTATTTGTTGTCATGTCCTTACCGTGTCACATCTTTATTTTATTTTTTTTAAGATTATTGTGTCAGTGGGTTTGTGTCATATCCATGTCTTGTGTCTGTATCTATATCTCTTAGGGCTTACCTCTAATCATTAATAGATTATACTTGAAAAAATTTCCAAGTATTGTTTACTCCTAGAGTTATAAGTAGTATTCATCACAAATGCTTGTAGGTGAAGTTCATTAGGATATAATTTGATGGAGAGACATATGTTGAGGATATAACGATCAAGTTTTTCCCTTTCTAATGGCTTTTGCTTGTTAAACAATCAGTTGTTAACCAGGTGAACACATCTTAGTTTTGAGTTACAAGAAGGGATTGCCAGAATGCCACTTGGAGCAAAGTTAAAGCCATCTCAAAGGCACTTATCCAAAAAAAGGAAAAAAATGGGTCGTCTCAAGGGGATAAAAGAACTTCGTAGCACTTGAAAGAAATTGCTTAGAGTGAGGGCTACCATGGAAATACTACCTAGGAGAGGCCAATGTAAAGTAGAGTGAGAGCTTCCCAAAGAGGAAAGGGCTACTACATCCAAAATGAAGCCTAGAGTGAGGGTTGCCGAAGATGATAGTTACAGAAGCATAGTGATTTCATCCCACACCCTGTATAAGATATAGTGAAGTTTGTAACATTTGGTATAAGACCAAGCAAGATCAAAGGCTCAAGCCTCATCATGTGGCATTATTTATAATATTTGCACATGTTTGGCACACACATAGAAAGGAGTTTTTCCACATGCATGTTGGGGATATGAATAGAGAACTGGTACCTTTATTTTGTTTGTGATAGTTTATTAATTACTACACATGCAATCAAGACTCCTTGTGCCTGCCCTTTTGGTAGTATCAGGGGATACTATTCAAGCTAAAGACTGCTGGTTATAATTACTGTATGGGAGATTAAATTCAATATGTTACTATGTGACGGTTCAGTCATCTACAATGAAGACCACAGTAGATATAGTGGTAAGCAAAATCAGTATATGTTAGGGTAAGTGGAAGGCCTAAACTGGCATGAGATGTTGGGGACAAAAATTTAAAAGCATTCATGTAGCTGACCCAATTAATTGGGATACAAGGTTTGGTTGGGTTTGGTTTGGTATGTGACCCCAAACTCCCCATGACAACATTTTGCTTTACACATAGATGAATAGAGATATGTATGACAATAGTAGATAAGCTGATTGTTTTCTTAGGGTCTGTCAATCATTTATTAAGCAAAGGTTATGTACTCCAGTGGGTATCATTTTATTTGTGTAGCAAAAAGAACTGTCTCTGTAATCTGTGTCTCAAAAATATATAGTTTCTGTAGCAGCTTCACAACCATTCTATTATAAAATCTGTGAAGTTCCTCCTATAAACATGCTCCACATTCTGACCTCACTGCTTTTCACTTGTGAACAAATTGTTTAGTGGTCTGCTTTAATGGGAAATTTATCTGTCTTATGCATTGCAGGCATAAGCTTGCACAATTTTCCAGAAGGAATGGCCGTGTTTCTTGGATCTATGAAGGTACCTTCAATTATTATTATCATTGTTTATTTATTTTCTATTAGATTCTGGCTATAACAATTCATTCCATGATTCATGGCAGTAACAGAAATTATTTTCATACTAGTGACTGATGAGTGCTTGTCTTAAATTCAAAATAATTAGATGTTGAGTTGCTTAACTTAGAGCTCTCCATGATTTATTTTATACAAAGCTCAGTTTTCCTGACCTAAAATCAAACTTCCTGTGGGAGGTATGTGATACCATCTAAAAATAGGTTCCGCTTTCAGTTCAAGGATGGTTTGATGGGAAGTTCGTCTTTGACATTGTTTATAACTGTTAAATGTATGCATATATAGGTATTTATGTGCACTATGCATTTATAAAAACTGCGTACTTACTATATACATAAAATAATGCATCAGCATGTTTTCTTGTGGGAGCTTTTTTATTTGATTAGTAAAATTTGTATTAATGACCAGGCACCAGAAGGGTGCAACCTATGAACAAAAACAATGAGAAATAAATAAGGTTCAACACAAAAAGTTGAGTTCACTTGTGAAATCTACAAAAAAGAGGATTCACAAAAAATTCTTTACACAAAAAATGGAAACTATGCAAAAGACTCATGAAGCTTTTGAATCCCCACATAGCAAACATATGTAGTTATTTTGAATTTATTTACCACAAAATTGTCCATATAATGCTCATATTATTTATGAAATGCCCTATGACATCTTCTGAACACCCTATGAATATTTTGTTGTGCCCCTCGTGTCCTTGAAAATGAGAATTAGATGAATAGGACACTTGGGAACACACCCTTACATGACAACTAAGTAGCATAGACACGAACGAACATGTGACACAACGCAGACATGCCCTAAATAGCAATTTTTAAAAAATGCTATATACATGCGACATGTTAAAAATATATATATATATATATATTTATAAATTTGTTATATATCAAATACATGAATAGTTTAGTCAAAGGTAATGAAAAAAAAAAAAAAAAACCATAACACTATTTAAAATTAAAGAAATCATAAATTCTATCTTAATCATCAAGTTATTATTCACGTAACAATTGCATTCTAAAAAAATACAAACCAATTGTATAGCATTGAGATACGTGTAATGTGTTCATCTTATAAATAATTTAAAACATATTTAGAGTGCACACGTTGCATTCTTAGAAATGTAGAACATTGTTACTATGAAGGGATTTATCACATCGTGTTCAGAGGATTCAAGAAATGTCACCAAAGTGTCTTTAAAATATCTGACATAATGAATATAAAATTTTAATTAAGACACGTTGAAGAGGTGTTAGATATGCTTTTAGAAGTGTTTGAACAGTGTCGTGTCTGACTCAACATGTCTCTTTCATAGAAGTATCTGCGCTTCTTTGCACGGCATCCTTTCTCTAGTTCATGTGACGTAGATAATAACTATGAAACATACATGCAAAATAGTGATAATTTTCACACGTTGGATTTCAATATGAAAAATAAACCACAATATAATAATATAATATGAATGAATGTCACTGTGAGAATTATAATATTGTTTCTTATATAGGAGTAGTTTAGTATGATTAGTTGTTGTTTCCTAACTAGGATTTTGTTTAGGTATATATAGTAGTGCTTGTAATATGATTAGTTCAATGCAAAGTATTGTGTTTTATCTTACAGGGATATGCATCCAAAAGTTCGGTATGAGTACGGGGACATGTGTCAAGAACTTATATATATATATCACATATTGTATAATATTCTTGGATAAGATGTTGTAAATTATTTAGAAATATAGTTCAAATTAAATAAGATTTAGGTATGTGAGAAGCTAGAAATGTTTCTTTACCAGCAAATGTGAGCATCTTCTTCTTCCAATATTGTATAAAATTAGAGCATCCAAATGTCTACATTAGGTATGGGTGTCGGACACGTATCGTACATCTTTACCCTTGTTATATGCGGTGGATACTGGTGCACTTGGGGAAGTAGAAGAGCCCATGCTACACAGACTCAAATCAATTTTCTTATTATGCTCCATTTGTATTTGAAATATTCTCTTTTATTTTGAAAAAGTGTAATACATTGGTTTAAGACTGCTCAATGCTCAAACCGAGATAATTTTGTGTGTTAAATTTGAGCAACCCAAGAGAAACACGATATCTTTTAGATAATGTTAGGCCTGGAAAATCTAGTTCGGCTACTTGTGTTTCTCATATTTTAATGCAAAATTTTAAGATGAAATGAGGAATGAGGTACATTTTGTGATAGCCATGCCTTAGCGGTAGCTGTAAGTTTCTTCTTTCATTCTTCATTACATTACTAGGTGTGTCTTAGCAGTTATTCAATTGACAATCCAGTAATCTTGTGGTTGGTTTGTTGTTGATAAAGTACAAAATCTTTTGATACTTCGATGATAGATTGATTAATGAAGAATGTTGTTCTTTTTGAGCTTAAATTAGCTAGCTGTTGATATCACCTGGCATTCATACGCCAGTTGAAATCACTTGATGAGCTTGACATTGCCTGATTTTTATATGCCAGTTGAAATTTCTTAATGAACCCCAAGATCTTGTTAAATTGATATTGTGTTGTTTTGGATAGACACAAATTACTAGTAGTGCAAATTGCAACCTGCTTTTTTGAGAAGCCTTTTTGTTGGCAATGTGGTTTGGTTTAGAAAACCTTGTGCTTTTGGCATCAAGCAGATTTCGAAGAGGGGAGGTTTCTTTGTTTAGGATGAGATTCACCGGCTTGTCAATGATGACAATTTGGTGATTGTAAAAATGTTGACTGTCTCATTTATCTTGCCTTGAGGAGATAAATCTCTCGTGTGACTAAGCTCTTGCTTGTTTTAATGCTTCTTTTGTAGGGGCTTCGGGTTGGTATGAACTTGGCTTTGGCCATTGCTTTGCACAACATCCCAGAGGTGTATATATTCAGACCCTATGATATTTCTATCTGGCATATAGTTGCTACCGGTTATTTCTAATACCTGAGTTCTTCCATGAATGAACTAGTTTTTTATTGCACTTGTGACTTTTTCTCCTTTTTAAGGGATATGGTTTCCAACATTTTTAAGTAATGTACCCCATGCTCAACAAAAAATAATAATATTGTACTTCTCCGTGTGTGTGTGTGTGTGTTTTGGTCCTAATCTCTTTCAGTTCCTAATTTACAGGGTGTTGCTGTTGCACTTCCTGTTTATTTTGCAACACAGAGGTAAGAAAATTTTGCGGTGCCTCTTTGGTTACATTTTTGTAAGTTGTTGCAAGTAGCAGAAGAACAAGATGTTTTATTTTGATATATGTATATGTATATATATATATATATAATTTTTTTCGAAGAAAAAGAAAAAATCAAAAGAATGTGTAAAATGGGCCATGTTCTCACCATCTTTTGCTATTTGCTACCTTTTATAAGTCGGCATCTAAAAGTAGTTTACCTGCTTGTTTGATAATTTCTTTTGATGTATTGAAAAACAACAGCATTCCCTCTGTTACACAATATTGTTAAACACTACTCCAAAAATGTTTTAAACCATAGGTGATATATTGTTAATTGGTTTGTTCATCTACGTGCCTCAGCAAATGGCAGGCGTTCAAACTGGCAACACTATCTGGCTTTGCTGAACCCCTGGGTGTCATTATTGTAGGTAGGCCCTTTGGTTTCTATCAATATATTCTGAAATGTGGTGCCAAAGGTTTTATTTTCAAAGAGAGAGATTTGGAGTGGAAGCTGCATTTTCCTCGTTGTATTCATGTTGGTGCGGAATTAGTCATTGTGTTACAGCTTGAAGAGACATATGAACACATAAATTCACATTTTAATTTTGTAATTTTTTGGGGGTTTTTCGAAGTGCTGAGACATCATACTTCTTTCAATCCTTTTAAGAACTGTCAATTTTGGGCTTTACTGAAAAGAATAAAAATAAATAAATTAAAGACTACCTTCATATCATAGTTCATTTTCATGCTCCCTTTTATTAGAATTTTGCCTTTATAAATGCTTTGGATTTCATTACTTTGTTGCTTATAAAGTGTCTTCAATTGCATTGCAGCTTTTTTATTCCCAAGCAGCTTAAATCCTGAAATTCTCGAGGGTCTGCTGGGTTCAGGTTAGCAGAACTGTTATTTCCTGAAGTTTCTCGAGTGAAAAAAGGAAAACTATATTTATTGAATGAAAAATTTCTTTTACTAAATTTTTGTTGCTTATTCAGTTGGTGGGGTGATGGCTTTCCTAACCTTGCATGAAATGCTTCCATTGGCATTTGATTATGCGGGGCAGAAGCAAGCCATCAAGGCTGTGTTCTTTGGAATGGCCTTCATGTCTGCAAGGTAATTAATTCAGCTCCTAGTAAAGATTAAAAAAAAAAAAAAAAAGTATTTCAAATCTATTTCAGAAACAAATGTTTTAACTGCAAATTTGTATGGAACAAAATATTATACCCAAAATTCTATGTAACAAAATAATTTACTCTGCTCTGTTGCGGCATGTTTGCAATTACATAAATGTTAATTTGTAACCTAATGCTCCGCTGTGTGTGATCATGGGTCAGATATTACCTCAAGAATAAACACATGATTATGTTTGATATGCAAACATGATCACGTCATGTTTGATATGCAAACATTAAAAAGAAAAAAAAAGAAAGAACAAAATTATATACTCTGTGCTCTATTACGTGATTATGTTTGTAGGTACATGTATACAGTCTCGCCATGTGGCATTGCCACCTCAGCTCCTAGTTGGCTTCTCCATGGAATATGGCACCATGAGTTGGCATTGTGAGGTGAAACATGGACCAATGATAGCTCTAGTCTCTAGATCCTTCCCTTTGTGTCAAGAGGTATGCCAGCTAATGATAGCACACACGGTGCTCTAGCCTTGAGCTTGCGCATTCAACTTCTGAAAGCACCACCTTAGCTCGGCCAAGAATTCTTTGAGTGCATCGCCTCACGATTTGCACTTGGTAACCCTCTTGGCTTGGCAAAGGCATTCTCTATCCTAGTGCATCATCTTTTGTACTTGTCACCTCGAAGATGAGTGCACCAATACTTGAGTTAGCACCCCTGGTACTTGTTTGGCTTACTTGGCCCATGTAGAGAGTCCCACATCAGTTTTCTTGGTATTTGAATAACATTCTAACTTTGCTGTTGTTACCTGTAGGCTAGGGGCAAGGCTTAGGAACTCTGCTCGAGATCATTAAAGGATATATGGGTTGGAAGCTAGAGTTGAGGGATTGTCAATGTTTTTGAGAGAGAGTTTTACTAAGGCATGCGTCACCTCATGAAGTGTATTACACCTAATGTTGGAGCCCCTTAGGGCCCCACTTTTGCAACTCTCGAGGTATATCGCAGTGACCACTATAAACCCCATGATATGACCTGCAAGGCTTGATCATGGGACAGTGGTAGTTGAAATAAATTCATATTGTCGATTGTCAAACTGAGCAGATTGAGTGACCTGCCCAAAGATGAGAGTTGGCACCTATGATTCGGCTTCGGCTTATAAGGGGGTTACACTGAGACATCCTAACCATCCCAGCTCCAGAAATGCTCTAGATCTGTTTTGCCATCCTTTCTCCCCAGGCTATCACCTCCTCCACCTATGGTGATATCTTGCTAGCTCAGTGGCTACCATCTTTCCAAACGCTCCTCATCACTGTCATCAACAATCTTACCAATCACCATCCTCCATCCACACTGTTGATCTAAAGGTTTTGCATTAATGATATCTACTTGGAAGAAAATAGAGAAAGGTGTTAACAGAATTAAGGGATTAACAGAACAGAACAAATTTGATAGTTTCAAGTTGTTACTATTTTATGTTCTTCGTTAGGTTTCATTTTAATAAAATTGCTAAAAGTGCCTTTGTTGTATTTTCTCGTTTTCTTTTCGGCTGTTTTTTCAGATGTAAAGTTCAGTGGTAGTAAAGACCATAGTTGGGTGTTAATTATGTTCAATGGATTATCATATATGACTCGAAGTGCATTGAGACAGACGGAAGAATTTAAGGATTGAGAATTGAGGATTGTGTGCCAGAAGTAACATCTAAAAAACAAGGGGGTTTTAACTTCTTAATGGATTTTCACCCCTCATTGCTTTTTATGTAAATTCATCAAGCCCCAAACTCATTCTAGTGGGCATAATAACAAAAATGGTGCATGAAAAACCAATGTTGGAAACCTACATGTAAAATTTGGAAAGCAAAATGGAATTAGTCACACATCCATGGAAGGACGTGTGTGTGTTCTCAAGCACAATGGAATTCGAAACTGAATCAAACCCCACTTTCGCACTTGCAAAACAACCAAACATGAAGTGCTTGTTTTGATTGTGTTTTTGTGTTTTTGTTTTCAAGTTTTAGAAGACATGGGGGACTCATCCGAGATTCCAAATGATGTTGAATTCTCAAGTGCTCAATCTTAACATGAATTGTCAAATGAATTGAAGGGTTTCAGTGTAATTCATTGGGAATGCAAATTCTTCTACTTTACTACCAAGTTAAGTCATGAAAAACACAAATCTCATGAAGGGATTCATGGGATTAAAGTTGTCTAATCTTTGTCTTTACTTAGGCCTCGTTTGGGAACAAATTTTTTTAGTAATTTTTTGGTTTTTTGGTTAAAATGTGATGTAAAAAAAATTAGTATGTTTGGAATAACTTTTTAGCTTTTTACGAAAAGATGTGTAAAAAGTAGAGAAAAAAGAAAATTTTTAATTTTTTGATATGAGTTATTGATTTTTTAATTTTTTTAATAACTTTTTAACTAAAAGAGACATCTGCCAAATGAGCCCTTAATATAGAAAAGTATGCTTTTATTGGATTTATGAAGATAAAAACAGGCTGACATCAAAAGCAAAAGATAGAGAAGTGTGTCCCAGTCTCACCAACTAAAGGAGAAACAAAAGAACACCCGAGTTTCGTCAAGAGCTTTATTGGGACGAGGACAACACTTTTGTTAGATGAATGAAAACAACTACGTACCCACCAAATGAAAAATAAAAAACAAAAAACATTTACCTTGTTTGTTTCTATTTTTTAAAAAATACTTTTTAAATAATTTTATTTTCTTATTTTTCGTATTTTTTTATTTTTACTGAATTTTTTTAATATTTTAAGTAATTTTTTACTTTTTAGACACACCTAATATAAATACACCTAAAAATTAAAAACATTGTAAAAAAAATCTTTTAAAAATTCACTAACTACCAAAAATACAAAAAAAAAAAAAAATACAAGAATTCAGTACATTTTTTATATTTTTATGAATTTATTAATTTTTTAAAATAATTTTTCACATTTTTTTACTTTTTAGATATATCTAAGTAAGGTGCATCTAAAAAAGTAAAAAAAATGTTTAAAATTTAAAAAATATTCACTAAAAGCAAAAAAAATATGAAAACCAAAGAAGTCAATTTTTAAAAAACTTAATCCAGAAAACTCAAATCAAACACACTTATTGGTATTATTACTTTAACCCACAAGCTACATATATCGCTGTTAGGCTTGAGAGACATTAATGATAATTAAATTTCAGAGATCATCCCATTATTAGTTGAGTTCAAAAGACAACAATAGATTAACCCACAAATTACGGGAGATTTTATTTACACCTGAAAAATTATTAATTATTTCTAATTTTTCATTACACTCTCTTCAATTATTTAAGATTTTATGTTACTCTCAGTACAACTTATAATTTTTTCTAAATTACCCTTCAAGGTACACTCAAATAAGAACAAAGTCACATGTTCAGACTTATAATGCTGAACAATATTGTTTGGCTTGGACTTTCATATCCGAACATGTTGACTTTGTTTGGATTTGAAAATCCGAACAGTAGTGACGTTAAACAGGCTGAATATTTATTTTTACAAAAAAAAAAAGAAAAAGAAAAATGTATTTTGATATTTATGTGAATACTGTTTCTCTTTGATGAGTTGTTTCAAAAACTAGTTTTCATTATTATTTTCATGCATTGTTTGATTTTGTTCAAATTTTATTCTATTGATAATGGTGAGTTTTGGTAGGATGGTACGGACATTTTTTTTTTTTTTGTGTGTGTGTGGAGGAAACAACAAAACATATACGTAGTTATATTAGTTCAACAATGTTAGATGATCCAAAATTTCATGGCTCAAATGTCTTAAAACGACGTCGTTTCGAGTATAAAACGACGTCGTTTCGACATATTCGAGTCATTCGAGCCACACAAATTCAGACCAACAAGCATTTTTCATATTAGTTAGCAAAGTTGTTCACGAGTGTCATGCTCGTCGATTTCATCATCATCATCATCATCATCATCATCATCATCATCAAGGACAAGTATAGAGAGTTTTAGCGTGAGGAAGAAGAAAAAAAAAAAAAATAGTTGACCGTTGAGGAAGAATATAAAAAATATGTATATGTGATTAGGGCATACCACAAGAAAATAAAAATTTATTTTGAAATTTAATGTGTTATTCTCATTAATAAATTTACATTAGAATATAATAAGAATTAAAATTTTAAAACGTTAATTAAGTGTACTTAATAATTTTTTTAAGTGTAAATAGAATCCCCTACAAACTACAGATCTCAGTCAAGCCCAAGAGACATTAATAAGAATTGAATCCAAAACATCTTAATTTTATTGCTCCTCTAAGAATTCATTCCTTTTTATTAGGTTACCCATACTGTCGGTACTTGATACTCATTCTTGCAAATAAATGTGTAATACTTTGTACATATCTGTATATATATAATTTAAATGATGTCCTATGTGGTATATTTGAAAGTTAAGATTCAACAAATCTAATAGTTATAAGAAAAAAAAAAACTTACGTGGCGTAGTCGAAAATTAAAATCAACAATGCTAGAGGGTTACAATTTTTGTAGTCACAATGGTTTAAAACTGTCAAAACGACGTCGTTTTGACATGTTTTGCACCCAAAACGACGTCGTTTTGACAGTTTTGAGCCATTGTGGCCACAAAAATTGTGGCCCTCAAACATTTTCCAATTAAAATCAAATAAATTTAAAGGGCACTTACCAATAACAAATTTAGTACTGTAAATTTATTTATAAAAACAAAAGAGAGTGATAAATTTATTAATATGACTTAATGTGTAATAAGTCTCAAAAGTAAGATATATTGATAATTTATTCTAAATAATCTCTAATTTTATTTTCTAAATAATGAAATGATTTCAAGCACGAATATAAAACATGATAAACTTGCACACACAACACAAAAGTCATGCTAATCTTTTCTGTTAGCTTTGCCTTCTATTAGAATAGGATACAATAATTTAGTCTTTAATGTGTCACATTTTTTTTAATGAAAAATGAAAATTTATTAACTCGAGATAAATGAGTAAAGTCTAAATAATAAAATTAAGGATTAAACTTTAGCAATACCCAATTCGTTTCACAAACAGTCTTAGCCAATCACATACAAATTTACAACCCAAACCATAGCAACTAGAATTTGACAAGATGCTACATGTTAGTGAAATTAAAAAAAAAAAGTATAAATTCATGAAAAAAATTATAAATTTAATTATAAATATATATAAAGCTTTTTTTTTTTATTAATGTAATATATATATTTTTGAAAAGTTACCTTGGTGTGTTATTCCCTCCCCCCAAAAAAAAGCACACCCCATTTTTACAAAAAAAGAAAAAGAAAAAAAAGAACAAATATTGCCAACAAATACAAACTTCACATCAAACACATCATTATTGTTATCTAGTGGTCCTTGGTCATGCGTCGTGATTTATTGATTGAAATACTAAAGTCTCGTCATTTTTTGTTAGTTTATAAGATAGCATAACAAGTTTTATAATCTAAATGATGTCAAACAATTTTCAAGGACTGTCGGAAGAGGGCATTTTCATCATATAACGGATTCAATCTGTTTACTGTTCAGACTGGTAAAATTTTAGAGTAAATCAAGAACCAAACAAAAATTGAAACTGTAACTAAATAGATAAACTTATATGACCATATCAGAATTGAATCATGAAAATCGATTTAGTTTGATTCGGTTTGATTCTATAGTTTTAAAAACTTTATATAATAAGAAATATGATATATATTTTATAATAAAAAATAAACGAACAATAATTACTTTAGTTAATTAAGAGTTTGTCAATTTTATAATTAAGACTAGCGTTCGAAACTTATTAACAACTTTCATATTTTTATTTTTACATACAAAAGTATTAAGCATATGATAAACATATATATTACATTTTGAGGCTTGAGGCTTGCTGAACTAGATAAGGTGTGGGCTTGGGTCGGGTTGGTGGCTCATCCATCTTAATCTTTTTATGACTAGGTTATATAGTGGCGGCTGCTTTCGATATATACACATGTGTATAAAGTTGATAACCTTTATATTGATGATGGAATAAATCCACCATCAGTTTTGCATAATTCAATCTTGCATTGGTGGCTAGCCTTTATAGCTAAGGACTCTCTCTCTCTCTCTCTCTCTCTTGTGTATAAACAGAGACCACCCTTCTTTGGGTTTCTCTCCAGAAAATTCTCTTCTTATCCTGCAAGTCAGCCTATAATATTCTTCCTAGTGTAAGGGAGTTCTGCCAATTGTTCTATTCGTCAAAACTATTCAGAAGGTGCTCCTGCAGTAGCTGATTCTACCCGTTCTATCTTAGGAGATAGACGCTGTGTAACACTTAGTATTCCTTGGACTAGTGGTATTTCTCTTGACACTCTTATTATTGTACTTGGAGCCTCTTTGATTCATTTTAGAATATTGATTGAGGTGGTACCATAATAGTAAAGTAGAATTGAATT